GGCCCCGTTAAACTCCCTGGCTGGGGACCCCTAGGTGATCGTACCCGATGGTTAGAGACTCGTGCATCCATTCATTATTCTCCTAACACCACTCTATGCAAATTCTCCATCTTCCACTTGAATTTGCTTTCAACATTCCAATCTGCATTCTGCTCTTTTATCCAAATGGGGCACCGAAAAACAACAACCAAAATCGGCACACGAAAGTGTATGGTTAATGGTTGAAACTGAAACTAAAACGGATGCTTGTCAACACTGTAATTAATGGAAAACCAGGACGAACGAATCTGGGTGCTTCTAAAATACTTGATGAGTGTTTCCCTGGTTAAATCCGTGTCGGAGGCTATTTGTTGTCGTATCCGGTCAACCAAGTTGTAAAACTAAGTTGAATGGAGGAACTTGATTTCCATCCTTCTTCAGATAGGTTTGATCCATTTTGAAAACGGATATTGCTTCGCGTTTGTTGCCCATTTCCGGTCTGGTGTCTTATCCATCCAATTGTACCCCATTCAGACGAAGTTCTCATGTTTGGAGTCTGAAATACGTCCAATCAACCCGGTTTCCATTAGTCCACGGTCCACTTCATAGTTGGTGGTCTTACATCGATTTGCTTACTCCACTTTTGTGGACCATGTGAGACAAACTTATCGTTTGGATGTAATGTAGTCTAGCTAATTTTAGTAGGTAATTCCTCCATAGTGAGCGGAACAAGAGGGGGGGGGAGGGACAAAATCCGAGCCTATCGATGGATATCCGTCTTTTCACTTACAGAGCGGGATTTCATCTCCTAAGAACGCCGCATTTGGTTTCGCTGCAAATCGATCAAGGACCAGGATCTCTGGTTAACTGTACAGCCTAAACCGTTCGAGTGTTTGGTCGCATTGGAATAATATTTCTTCGTGCGCTGCATCTGATGTGTAATCCAATCACTGGGGTGTGGCTCTGGGTTAAAAACGTAGCTCCTGATTCAAACCATGTGCCTCATGATTACATTGTAAGCTGGAAATATGCCTCGTCTAAATTCTAGATAATTTTGTGTTTGTTTATCTTTTGAAATATATCCCAAACAGCCTAAGCCTGGAAAACAAAAATGTGTTTCGTCGATTCTTGTCGACCAGTCTCAACCCCTAATACTTGAAACTACTTTTAACTTTTAAATTGAAATTTTTAAATGCACCTACTTGTCGTCTGCGCATGACTGTGTCCCGACCATTTAAAAGAGCTTTGGCATCCCGTTTGTTGCACACACCGTTTAGAATTTGATGAACTTGGCCCCTCGCAAACCCGATTGGGATTTGAAACGTGGTGTGGAGAAGAAATTGCAAAAACTGGAACGACGCACTCAACGCGCTATTGCCGAACTGATTCGTGAGTGGAGTTTTGATTTTGATGTTTTGTCTCATCAGCTATTTTCTTTTTTAATCAGAAATATGCTGATCGTTGGACTAGGTGGAGTTAGAGTAAATGTTAAATGATTTGGAGCAAAAGTCCCGCTGATCGCCTGAATGATATCCGCGTTAGTGTGATTCCTGTTTCTAATATACCGTGTGATGTATGCGTGCCACGTGCATCAGATCCTTGTTGACCGTATGTGTATCCTGTAAGGTATTCATCTGATCACAAAGGGACAGCAAATGGATCGCCGTTGAGCCCCATTGAACAAGTGCTTCGACAAACACTCCTCATCGTGATCATCGCTTTTGGCCATCATGGCTTATCCGCGACCGACGTATGCTGAAGAATAAGGGCTGATAACAAAACAGGACATTGTGATGTTGAATGACAAAGTGTTTTGCTTCCTCGAATAACACAGAGTTCCGCGTCATATCCTCTACTAGTGTTACAGATTCTAGGATCCAGTGAAACAATCCACAAAGGTGTCTTGTCAACGTAGATTGTTCTCATCCAGTAGCTCATGTGCAATGATGCATTATGTACTCGCGCGCCATCCAGGTTTACCATTCGGTATGCGTGGTTTGATGCCCTGGAAATATGATCTGTTTTGATGCGTTGAAGCAAATTTCTCTCTGCTCCGTTGGTTGGTGCTCTTGAAAAATTCTTCTGGATTTTCGTTATACCTTATGTGAAACGCATTGCACGCTTCGCTATTTCCCTGTGAGAGGCTAGTCCAACCCAATTCTGATGCCTTCGGTTTTCAATTTTCTCTTGTTCACATTGATTGAAATGCTATGACATAGTATATCAAATAAACTTCACACAATTCGCTTCCTGACATGGCAACGTATGAAATATGTTTCAGTACACCTCGTGAATGAATTTCATGATCTGAAATATTTTTTATCAATCAATGCCTTTAATTGGAATCAAATGTTTTTCGGTATTCGACAGCCTGTTGTGTTTGTCCACGTGTACTACTGTTTGAAATACTGTCATCCCATTTAGTTTGGCCTCATCGATGATGATGTATCAAAAAATTCATTATTCCAATTGATATCATTAGTCACTTGTTCCGTTTGCTCCTCTTGTGTTTGTTGTATAGAAACGAAATTGATCGATACAATTGCAATCTGTTGCAACTGTATGTGGTACAAGTAGAATTGTATGCTTGATTATTAACAAACGTATGGTTCTTTTCCGCCCCATTTATCATAATTGGTTTTAGTTTGTCTTCATTCCTCTGAACGTGTCGTTTTTAATAAACCTGAATCCAGGCCGCAAGCGAAGCCTGCACGTTCAGAGGAATGAAGACAAACCAAAAACAATTATCTATATCAAAACACAAGTCCGAAGGCGAACAATTGTTTTCGAATGATTCATAATCGTGCCTGTACAGATCATATAAGGGTTCGAAAACAATTGTTCGCCTTCGGACCTGTGTTCTGATGTTACAACGGGATTATTTCGGAATTATCTATATACCTGACGAGCGGAAACAAACGCAAAACCGGTTGTGTGCTTCCAGGGAAATTTTTTCCAGTCATTCATACACTACTTATTAAGATGTATATGTCTTAAGAAATCTGCTTCGTAAAACAAAAAAGATATCTGCTAATAGCACCCCAGCTACCATCATATTTATCAGTGGCTCGTCCAATCTATGCGTACTGGTTCACCCAGTTCTCATTCACCCGAAACTTTCACTCACTGGTCTCTTTTTGCCGTTCCTTCATATTAAGATGGAACGAATTATGAAACAGTTTAAGCTTTTTATGTGTCTGCCCTCCTCATTTAGAGC